AGAATTCCCACTGTCTAAAATAATAGACCAACAGGATTGTACGCAGACGATGTGTAAGGTGTTATTTTATGGTGCAAACTGCCTTTATCTTTCAGCTGGGGTGATATTTTCCGATGCAGTCTGTGTTTCATCCCTTAACTGTAAAAACAGGACCAAACTATGCATGCGGGTAAGAGTGGGAATCGTCAGTACAGCTTCCTACCCGCCATGTATTGAAAGGACATGTAACTGATTTGCTAGAAGGATGAGTGAAATGAAAGGATAGAGAAAGAAGGAGAGAAAGTATTTAATATCATGAAAGAAATAGGAGTGATAGAGCAGGTGGAAGAGGAGGAAACTAACATATGATAAGGATAGTAATTCTATGAAGTTATGAGGAGACAGCTTTCATGAGAATATCGCACTAACTAGGTTAACTCGATAGCCAGAAATGCTCGAGAACCAGACATCACTTCTAACTCGAGAGCCATAAAAGCTAGAAGGCTGAAACTTTGGGAGTATGTGCTTACAGCATGTGCGACTTTCTTGTTTTAACACCATAACCCGCGTACGCCTGAACCCCACGTGCGAGCTCCGCATGCGAGCACGTATAAGTTTTGGCCGGAAAATTGCTGACTCGGTGACCAGAAAAGATGGAAAGCTGAAATTTTAAGGGGATGTTCTCCGTCCAAGCTCTAACAGATGGAGCTTACATTCTCAAAATGAAAAGGATAAATAAATTTCAACAGATTTCATGGATAGTGTAGATTTTACTAGCCCATAGCCCCCTTCCATCGGAACATCGGTAATTTGTCGGCCGTTTTTTTTAATGCTACTGACCGCAGATGCTTCGTTATGTACCATTGCTATGTCTTCAGGAAAAGGCTCTGGTAATTTCAGCACCATCACTTTCGTTATTTCAGCTTTTTTCTGCGAAAATTGGCATTTTCCTGCATTTTTCCGCGAATCCATTCAATAATTCATGAACTGGGCCTGGTGCGGGAATCGCTGAATTGGGAAGCAGGAAAGTTAGGAGGTGAAATTTTAAGAGGATGTTCCCAACTCGTGTACAACTTAAAGGTTTCAAACTCAGACCCTATATTTTTGGTTTTTTCTGTCTTCTACCATCACAATTTCAGCACAGTTACTTATTTTCTATTTCGTACGACTCCATGCATAATTACTTTTTATTTTGTCCATCAAATCTGTTCATTTTTAGTTTCTTTTCACCTATGCTTCCCACATAAATGCAATATAAATATAGCTTTTCTGATCAGCAAACCTGCAAGTAGGGTTGTTTGAAAAGCTGAGGTTCGTTCACCGGTCGATGAGGATGCCCTCTGTACACTCGTCCCATCCTGTCGCGTTCTTCCGGGCTTGCACTCCGTAAAGTCCCGTCTGTTTCACGTACAACAACTGAGCGTATCTGTAAATCTCATAAATCTATAAATCTTCAAATCCCCCTTTGGGGGGAAGTTACCCGAACTTACCCGAACTCCAAGGCCGAACGAAAGATCGGTGAAGACAAATTTGCTCTCATCAAAACATTCCAGTTCTGGATCTTTTGCCAGGATCAC